CTTCTTTGGTGCTGGCCAGAACTCCTTGGGAATCTCCATGGCTTGACACAGAGCCTCTGCTCTCTGCCTTACAACATCCTGGCTGTGGCTGCGGCTGTTGAGCATTTCTTTCAGCTCGTTCAGGACTTGCTTGGCCACTCCTTGTGTCTGCTTTGTCCTCTCCAAGTGCTGCTTTTCTTGTTCCTCAGAAGTTGCTTTGTCCTCTCTTATTTTCAGGAGTTTCTGGAGCGCCCTTTTCTCCCAGGGGTGCCGCACTTGGCGCTCCAACGTAAGGTAGTCTTCATATTGCAGGTGTTGCAGGGCTTGTGTGCACTGGACTCCCAGGGTCTGGGAGAGTTTGGGGAGCCAGTATCCAGCCTCCAGTCCTTCCTTCTGAAGTGCCTCTGCCAGGAGCTGTGCCTCTCCATGCCCCTCTTGGGTGTCGTCCTGCGAAGCCATGGCTGTGGGGGAAGAAAGGAAACGTTCCCTAAGGTTTGTTGTGAGAGGCCCCAGGCTCCTCTAAGAGGCTCTGCAGCAGCTCCGGCCCTGGGGATGCTCCCACGTGGCTGCTGGAGCCCAGGCTGGGATGCCACAAGGCCCAGGGTCTCCTTCCCGGACAATGGATGTGCCTGCTGTGGGATCAGCCCTGAAGCTGAGTGTGTATCCCAGAGACAACACACACACACACACGGACTTGGGCACGCAACCTGCCATGGAGAAGGTGCTGCCTTCAACATCGCCCAGGTCCTCCCAACAGGACTCCTGAATCCGTGAGTGCAGAGAGCCGAGGGCCTTCCTGGATCCCTGGAGCACCAGCACAGCCCCTGTGCCCGTCCCACCCCCCTGCCTGCATCCTGCACCCTCTTCCCAGCACAGGGCTCTCCCGCTCGCCGGCTGCTCCAGCTGGTGCTCCCAGCACACAGAGGCAGCGCTTGGAGCTGGGGAACATTGTCCCAGTTTTCAAGATGGGCAGGAAGGATGACCCTGGGAACTACAGGCCTGGCAGTGTCCCTTCAGTGCCTGGTAAAATTGTGGTGAAGGTTGTTCTGGGAGTTACTGCAAAGCCCCTGAAGGACAAGGCAGTCACTGGTCACGGCCAGCACGGGGTCCTGAGGGGAATGTGCTGCTCATCAAACTAAATATCCTTTTATATCCTCCCCAATAACCCATGTAGTGGATCAAGGGAAGCCAGCTGATGGGACCTTTCTGGATTTCAGTAAAGCTTTCCATCTCTCCCAGGATCCTTGTGGGTCCCTTCCCACTCCGGCCCTTCTGTGATTCCCTGATTCTCACCCTAACAGAGCTGGTTCTCTCCCTGGACTCCTGCCTTTACACCTTTGGGGTTTTCTACACGGTCCCACAAACCTGAGAAGTGTCTCTGTCTCAATTCAGCTGGATCCTGGAGAGGTTGATTCCATGCACAAACCCTTCCCCTGCCTTCAGCTTCCATCCCAGCAGGGACACCAGACCCTCCCCAAGCCAGGGCTGGCTCCCAGGGGTTGGCACTGGGCTCCTGGAGCCTTGCAGAGCCTTGAGTGTCAGCTTTCCCTCACAGGCCAGTGCAGACTGAGGCAACGTGTGCCCTGGCCATGGGCTCTGAGTCACCTCACCCACCTGAGAGCAGATGCTCCTCTTGGTCCCAGCCTTGAGTGCCCAGAGGACACGGGCAGCCAAGGTGCCCAGCTCAGGGGACACAGCACCGTCACAGCCCAGGCCTGGGGGACACGGCGGCAGGTGGAGAAGATGGGAACTCCCTGGAGAATTCCGGAGGAAGAGCAGCGGGAAGGAAAGGCCCCAGATCCTAAAGGAGAAGAGCTGAGAGTCAGGAGATGGCAACCCAGCAACGTGGAGGATTGATTGCAGGGAGCAGTGGAGGCCAACCCTTCTCCTGCAGTGGGGATTACCCCGTCAGCAGAGTCCCCAGGGCCTTTGTGGGGTGGGGAGCAGAGCAGGCTTTCACCTGGGCCCTAAATCCGTGTTCCCCTGCAAAAGGAACCTGGACATGCTGGAGAGGTGGGACAGTGCCAACCCCCTGAAGGTAAACAAGGGCAAGGGCAGGTGCTGCCCCTGTGTCGGGGCAATCCCAGGCACAAAGATGGGCTGGGAGTGGACTGGATGGAGAGCATCCCTGGGGAGAAGGACCTGGGGGGCTGGTGGGTGAGAGGCTGGACACGACCCGGCCCAGAAACCCCCTGTGCCCTGGGCTGATCCCACAGGGATGGTGGGCAGCAGGGCAGGGGGGATCTGCCCCTCTGCCCCCTCAGCTGAGACCCCCCTGCAGAGCTGCCTCCAGCCCTGGGCAACAGCAGCACAAGGACGTGGAGCTGCTGGAGACAGTCCAGAGGAGGCCGCGGAGATGCTGCCAGGGCTGGAGCCCCTCTGCTCTGGAGCCAGGCTGGGAGAGCTGGGGGTGCTCAGCTGGGGAAGGGAAGGATCCAGGGAGACCTTGGAGCCCCTTCCAGAGCCTAAAGGGGTTCCAGGAAGAGCCTCCAGCAGCTCCTGCACTCCCACAAGTGGGATGGGGCGGAGTAGGGGGAAAGCAGAGGGAAGAAAAAGGGCTGGGGAGATCAGGGGAGTTGAGGAAGCAGAGGAAAACTGTGTGTGCTGGCAGAGCAAAGGAGGGACTTCAGCCCCCAATTCCCCTCGGGGTGCAGGATGGCTGCTCGAGAAGGCACCTGCTGGCTCACGGCCACTGCTGGATATTGTCCCTTCAGGCCCCTTGTGCCAGCTCTGTCCCCTCCCAACTTCCCTCCCTTCCCCAGGGCAATGGGCTCTGGAAGCACCTGTGCCTTTGAGGGGCTGCAGCAGGGACCAGAGCGCTGGGGGCGGTGAAGTTTCCAGTGGAAGGGAGGGGAATCCCGGGAGGAAAAGGACCAAGTGTCCCCCCCGGGCTGGGGCCGGAGCGGGAGGGGCCAGGAGTGCCCCTCATCCCCCCCGGCGCTGCCCTGCTCCCTGAGGAGCGGCGCGGGGCACAGGCAGCACCCCCGGCCCCAGGAGGGCCCCAGCACCCCCGGTCCTGCCTTCGGGGAGCGCAGCCCCCGGACCCCGCCTGGGGCTGGGGGTGCCCGGGCCGGGCAGGATCGGCCCCGCCTGCGGCCGGGCACGGGCTGCAAAGGGAAGGGGCTCCTTCCCTGGCATCTCCCCAGCCATGGGAACCCCCCGGCATGGGAAGCAGAAGACAAACAAGCCCCCGCTCCTTGCCGATCCCGGCTCCCAGCCCCGCAGCTCAGCCCCAAGGTCCTACCGTCTCCCTGCGGAGCTCCCGAGGTGAGAGAAGCCCAGCGCAGCCCCTCTGCTGATCCAGCCCCGGCTCTGCGGGCGCTGCTGCTTCCCCTTTCAGCGGCGCCGGGGGGGGGCAGCTGCTGATTTCCTGTAAATCAGGCGTTTTTCTGCAGCAGAAACGAAACTGCTGCCTGGTTTGGGATGAAAAGTTGTTCAGTGGGAGGTGAACTCGATGATCTGGGAGGTCTTTTCCAACTTTAATGATCCTGTGATTCCATGAAAGGCAGCAGGAGCTGGGCAGTACCTGGGGCTCCTGACTGGAAACCACCTGATCTGTGCCTCTTACCCCTGATCAGCGAATCCCAGAACTGGGCAACCTGTGCCAGGACCTCCCCCCCTCCCAGCCTTCCCAATCTCCCATCTCTCCCTGCCCTCTGGCACTGGGCAGCCATTCCCTGTGTCCTGTCCCTCCAGGCCTTGTCCCCAGTCCCTCTCCAGCTCTCCTGGAGCCCCTTTAGGCTCTGGAAGGGGCTCCAAGGTCTCCCTGGATCCTTCCCTTCCCCAGCTGAGCCCCCCCAGCTCTCCCAGCCTGGCTCCAGAGCAGAGGGGCTCCAGCCCTGGCAGCATCTCCGCGGCCTCCTCTGGACTCTCTGCAGCAGCTCCACGTCCTTGTGCTGCTGTTGCCCAGGGCTGGAGGCAGCTCTGCAGGGGGGTCTCAGCTGAGGGGGCAGAGGGGCAGATCCCCCCTGCCCTGCTGCCCACCATCCCTGTGGGATCAGCCCAGGCCACGGGGGGTTCTGGGGCCAGAGCACCCGGCCGGAGCACGTCCAGCCTCTCCCCCTGCAGCACCCCCAGGTCCTTCTCCCCAGGGCTGCTCTCCATCCATTGCACTCCCAGGGGGGGTTTGTGTCTGGCATTGCCCCGATCCAGAAGGAGCACACGGGATTGCAGCTTCAGTAAAGCTGTTGAAGGTCTAATCCCAGCACTAGAGCCCGAGAGTGCTGAACTGCCCCAGGGCTGAGCTTGAGAGGGGACTGGTAGAGTGCTGAGGGGCTGGAGCTGAGGGGCTGGACTGAGGGCTGGCTGTGGATGGAGCTGTGAGGGGACGGTTGTGAGGGCGGGCTGTGTGTGTGAGGGGAGAGGGGACGGTTGTGAGGGCGGGCTGTGTGTGTGAGGGGTGAGGGGAAGGTTGTGAGGGCGGGCTGTGTGTGTGAGGGGAGAGGGGACAGTTGTGAGGGCGGGCTGTGTGTGTGAGGGGAGAGGGGACGGTTGTGAGGGCGGGCTGTGTCTCTCGGCTGTGAGGGGACGGTTCTCGGGGCACGCTGTGACTCTCAGGCGGCCCCGATCCCCTCAGGGGGACCGTTGGAGCGCGGCCGGGGCTGCGGTGGCCCCGCCGGCCCTGGAGCCACCCGGACCCCCCAGGACCTCCCCCGGGACCCCCCGACCTGCGGCCCGGGACAGGTGGGAGCTCGGGGGCGCCGGGCTGGGCCCGGGGGAAGCGTCCAGCGGGGGCCGGGCCGGGCCGCGGGGCCCGTGGGGGAGCCCCGGCGCGCAGCGGCCCCGGGCTGTGCGGGCAGCGGGGCTGGGCCGGGCCGGGCTGCGCTCTGCTCCAGAACAGCGGCTGCTGGGACACGGAGGGTGCGGCTCCAGCGCTTGGGATTAGCGGGAGACACCACCAGGGCAAAAGCAGCGCCGTGTTGTGTCTGCGAAATACGAGGGATGTAATTTTTCTGTGGGAAACCACTGCTTTGTTGGAGGAAAAAAATACAAACAAACTTCTTTTTCCTCTGTCTTTTTAGGTTGTGGGTTAAATGTTTGGAGAAGGAGCCGAGCCCAGAAAAGTGGGAGTTGCCCGGAGAGGCTTGTCAGTGTGATCCAGGTACCGTGATCTGTTGGACTGACTGTGGGATCGAGCATAAATGCTGTTATCAGGTGCCTGTTTTTTACCCTCACAGAACTGGTCCTGAATTTTTAATTTCTGACAAACCAGTGGCCTGGAGCAGTGATTTCTGCATTTTCTGTCATGTATAGGACATGTAAAAATACTCCTCTGTGAGATACACTCCTCTACTTGAAATTCCCACAGAAGTCCATTGTTGTGCAACACATCCCTTGTCTGGAGAAGGTGAATCCTAGAATTATGGAATGGTGTGGGTAGGAAGGGTCCTTAAAGCACCTTTATTTCCACTCCCCTTTCTTTGGACTCTCCCAGGTTGCTCCAAGCCTTGTCCAGCCTGGCCTTGAACACTCCCAGGGACCCAGAGGCAGCTACAGCTTTTCTCTGGGAATCCCAACCCAGCCCCTCCCCACCCTTCCAGGGAAGAATTCCTTCACAGTCTGCCATCTCTCCTTGCCTTCTGGCAGTGGGAAGCCATTCCCTGTGTCCTGTCCCTCCAGCCCTTGTCCCCAGTCCCTCTCCAGCTCTCCTGGAGCCCCTTTAGGCTCTGGAAGGGGCTCTCAGGTCTCCCTGGATCCTTCTCTTCTCCAGGGGAGCACCCCCAGCTCTCCCAGCCTGGCTCCAGAGCAGAGGGAGGCAGAAGGAGCAGGGAAGGAAAAGAAAGTAAAGGGGAGAAGGAAAAGAAATCCGAGTTGGTCCACTCAGATCTGCCCCTCTCCCCTTCCAGCCCCATCCCGGCCTCCTCCCAGCCTGTCAGCCCAGCCCCGTCCCCTGCCTTGCCCAGCCCCCTCTTTCCCAGCGGGTGCATCAGACAGACCCCCCGGGCAGTCCCTGCTGGGCTTTCCAGTCCCACCCCCCCCTCCAGCAGCTCTTTGCTTTCCCTCCTGGCTCCCTGGCAGCCCGGCAGGGGCACTGCCACCTCAGTTCCAACCCCCACGGCCGTCCCCGGGGCAGCCCCAGCTGGTCCCAGCTTCTCCAGAGCGCGGCTCCGGTGCCCCCAGGCTGCCTGGACAGCACCAGCGCTGCCCCGGGGACTGGGAGGAAGCTGCTGGGCCACGGGATCCTGCACAGGGGGCACGGCAAAGGCTTTTGCTCAACAGCCAGGCCAAGGGCAGGAGCAGCTGCCGGTGGGGCTGAGAGCTGGAGGGAAGTGCAGCAGGCCCAGGCCCCTGAGCAGGGACGGCTGCCCTGGGCACACGCAGGGCCCTCCGGAGCAGGGAGTTAAAGCACTGCCTCAGCCGGCCCTGCCCCTGCCAAGGTGGGACCTGCTGCTGGCGACTGAAAGGACTCCTCTCCCAGTTCCTGGAATCACACTCTTTATTAGCACCGCCTGGGACAGGTTAATAAGGTTCGTGGGCGTTGGCGGCAGCGTCTGGCTGCAAAACTGTGTTTGAAAGCAATCTGGGCTCTGGGAAGCAAGGCCAAGGTGGAACAAGAAGCAATCTGCCAATATCCTCTGAGGGGAGCCCGACCAAATCTGGAGTGGCTTCAGTCGTAATTACCTTTTGTTTCTGGTTGGTGTAAAGTTCTCTTGCTGTACCTAACGGGAGGGGGGGTCGTGGCTTGGCACCTGAGGAGGGGGTTCGACGTGGTTGTTGGCTCTGCAGCAGAACACCTGGATTGTCCCTCGGCTGACAGGTACTGGAGGGTCCCATGATCTTCCCAGTACCACAGTGTTCCCCCTTTGTGCTGGGATTGCAGTGCTGCAGGAAAGCTGGGCTTTGCTCAGTGCCCCTTATTTCCTCAGAGCAGCTCATCCAACTGGGGCTTTCTCGTGCTGCCTTTGCCCTTCCCCTGGCACTTGGGCTCCATCTTGGCCATGGGACTGAGCAGCCCTGGGAGGGTTTTTATACTTTTGCTCAAGGGCAAAGCAGAGGGAAATGTTTACGGCAGGAAGGGAAGAGGATTCTGGCTGATCAGGAAGCGAGGGAGTTTCTGAGCGACGGCCGGAGTAACGCGCCTTATTTCACCCAGTTTGTGAGCAGTTGGATCCCATTGTCTTCATGGGGCTTGAGAGCACAAGCATTGAAACAGCATTTTGTGGACAGCCTTGTACTCTGTTCTGCTAAACTGCAAAGCCGTGGAGGTTCTTCCTTCATCTTCTTTCATCTTCCTTCCATCGACGTGGCCTAAGGCTTGTCCAGCTCAGCAAGTGCTTCCTGCTTGGTAATTCTCTGCCAGGCCTGAGGGATTTCTCCTCTGCCTTGAAATTTCTTACCATGCCAGGTTTCTATATTGGCCCTGAAATGACACACAAACCATTTCCAGTAGGCTTGCGTGGATGGATCAGGAAGAATTTTCCAATTGGAAAAAGGAGGTCCTGCATCCCGGTATCTCTTGTAGGGATACCTGAGGTCATCCTCTGGGTGTCGGTAGAATCCACGGTCACTTGCAACACTGCTGGAACAAATATCAATGACCAGCTCTTCTGTTCCTCGGAACCTCCATCCCTTCAAAGCTTGTGGTCGATGGAAGAGAAGCTGATGGTCTCCATCGTGTCCTTGCATGGTGTTTGTGCAGACAGCCCCACAAAAGGGACACTGCGCCCAGCACCCCCAAAACTGCTCCACCAGGATGGTGTGAGGCTTCCTTTCAAACCAGCTCAGATCAGCAACAGCAAATTCTTCCCTGAGTTTGTCCTTCATGGCAGGCAGTGCTTCTGCCATGGCTTTGCTCAGGAACTCGATGTCTGTGATCTCCTGATGCTCGAGGCCCTTCAGGTCACTTCTGGGCAAGTTCATCAGCTCTGTCAGTTCCCCACAAAATTCAGCCAGCCAGAGAGAGATTTTGTCCTTTTGGTCTTTTCTGTCTTTGACCCTTTGGGTTGATGAAGCAACAGCTGACAGGATGTTTCCATAGAGAACATCAAGGGAGGAATCTAAAAAGTTCTCCAGCCTCCGGCTCTCACCTAAACAGTAACTCTCAACACGTCTCTCAATGTACCACTGAAAAAACTGTTCTGGGTGTCGAAGGTACCGCTTGAAATACTGGAAGTTTTGTTCTTGTGCCAGGAATCTCAGGATACAAACATCCAGATTGGCTCTGTTGCCCTGGAAATCTGGGACTTTCCCCTGCATGTCCCCAGCGATGGCTTTAGCCGTCCTCTCATAGACGGCCCGGCGAAGAGCTGGGGCAAGCTTGTCACAAAGGAAAACAGCAAAAGCTGTGACAGAAGTGGCTCCTTGGCAGGACATCTGGAAACATGTGAAGAAATCTTCTTTCTTGCTGTTCAGGTAGACGACTGGGTCATTTGCCTTCTGGAATGCTTCGTGCATGGCTTTAAACCTTTCTGCTGCCGTTCTGCACAGGTACAGAGATAAATCTATGATGTAATCTTTGTTAACCCTAAATGGTGCATCGCTGGGGACGGAGTTCACACCTTCCTGTACTTCATGGAGTATTTCATGAATAAAGGTTCGACTGTAATCCCGTTTCTCCTGTTCCTTCTTATCAATGTTTGCCCACACACGATCTATGATGTTGTCTGTGATGTCCTGCAAGTTCACATCAGCATTGGAAACATTCCTTTTTTTCCAACCCTTTTTCTTTGTGACATGTTTTTTCAAGTCCAAGGAAAATCCTGTGTGTTTGGGAAATGACCTGATCCGTTCATGGAAACCAGGCTCCTTAAAATGCTCCAGAAGGACATCTTCTATTTCCACATCAATATCCACCCGTTCCAGTGGGGGAGCAGCACGGGAGACTTCAGCAATCCACTCGGCCCAGAGAGAAGTAAAGCTGTCTCTCAGTTGTATCTCACTGAGGCTGTTGCCTTTCAGAGTCAGAGCCAACTCCCTGCTCCTTCTCAGGAGCTCGTCTTCATATTCCCACTTCCTTGCATCCAGTTTACTCTGGGTCTTCTGCAGTTCAATGAGATTCTCACATTTCTTCCGAGTTTCAAGAACAAGGTTCTCTTTTAGTTCTTTCAGCTTCAGCTCTGTGCTGCCTTTCCACTGGACCAGCATCTCACGGTGTTTCTCTTCCCTGAAATACTTTTCCATGTCTGTCAAGATGGCATCACTTGTCTCTTGCACGAGCCCTTCCAGGTGTTCTCTGGTGACTTGCTGCAAGTCCCCGTTCCGAATTCTATTGTCGAGTCTCATTTGTACATCTAAGATGTGACTCCTCAGCCTCCAGGTCCACTGACAAAAGGCAGTTTCCAGTTTCCTGTAGACAGCAATCTCCAGTGAATTCTTGAAGCTGAAAACAAAGTTCTCGTTCAGCAAAGCATTCCAGAGGTCACCAATACGGACTTTCAGGCTGGAGAGCGTCAAAATGCTGCCCTGGGACTCCCTGGCAGCCTGGAGAACTTTGCTCTTCAGTTGCTGGACGTTGTGGCTGTAGGTGGGGTTGGGTGGTGCCATTGGGGGGTTTCCTTCCCACAGGTGAGCAAAGTAGTGAATGTGGGTGTTCACGTCAAAGCGGATGACGTCGCTGAAGGAGGAGACGTCACAGCATTCCTGCTGGGCAGCTGCCACGGTCATTTCATCCAGCTTTTCCTGAAGACATCTTTGTCCTTCCATGTTCTGCTCCTTGGCAGTAACTTCTCCCACGTTTTGGTGGACAAAGAGGCAACCGGGGGAAAGACTTACTTTCTTCATCCTCAGAAGAGCGTGCGCAGCGATCTGAAGGACATCCTGCATTTCTGAGGGATTTTCCCCAAAGACGTTGATCAGGGTCATGTTGCCAATGCCGATGACAAAGGTGGCCAGCTCGTTGTCATGGTTCAGGGACTGTTTATTGGCCATCTCTATGGCACGAAGGCCCTCTGTGTCAACAACCAGCATGTAATCAAAGCCCACGTCCTCTTGCAGCTGCTCGTCCAGTGGCAGGAGCTGCATAAACGCTCCCCGGGTGCATCTCCCCGCGCCGACGTTGAACTGCAGCCCAAACATGGCATTCAGCAGGGTTGACTTCCCTGTGCTCTGCAGGCCGAGCACGGAGAGAACAAACACTCGTTTGTCCCCCAGCCTCTCAATTAG